GCATCTGAAGGGGCTGAGAGGAACCTGGAGAGGGACAGTTCGTCAGGAACTGGAACCCCAGTGCAGGGCTGGATGGGATTTTGGGCAGGAATTGTTCCCTGGCAGGGTGGGCAGGGCTGGCACAGGGTGCCCAGAGCAGCTGTGGCTGCCCCTGCATCCCTGGCAGTGCCCAGATTGGCCTTGGTCTAATTAAACCTGGTCTAATTAAAGGTGTCCTTGCCATTGGGAAGAGATGAGCTTTAAGGACCATTCTGTGGCTCTGAGTCACTCAGTCCAAGTGTGGATCTGTTCTGGGTCGTTCCAGCACTGCCACCAGACAAGTAAATATCTGTGCAGAGATCCCTGCAAAGCAAAGTGCTCAAAGTGCCTTTTGTACACGGGAACAAAGTATTGGAAATCAAAGGAAACTTTTCCTTCCTCTTGGGGTGCATCAGCCTGTGCTCATTGCTGGTCACTGCCATTAGAGCTTTGTGAGAGTGTAAAACAATGTGCTGTGTGTTTTGCTCGAAGGCATTTCAGCTCATCAGAGCCTGCAGAGTGCTTTTTGCTGTACTGCAGGAGTGCAGGGCTGGCTCACACACACGTGGCCATGCAAGCCTGGCCTGGGATGGACCTGGGAGTGACTTCAGTGTCAAACTCATAAAGCATTTTTAACACTCAGAGCAAAACGCAGCGAGGAGCAGGGAAGGGGCACGAGCAGGGTGAGCACTGCAGGCAACTCTGGCATCTCGTGTATGTAAAGTTAAATTATGAGCAGCTTCTCAGGAACTGCCAGGAAGCAAGCCATGCTTTCTTTACTGCAGGAAAATATGGGATTAAAATCCACCTGGGCAAGGGCAGAGAGGCTTGGTGGGCTGCTTCTCACATCCTCCTGGGTAAAACTGATCTCACATCCCCTCTGGGGCATTGTCTGTGTGTGCCACGTGTTCCTCTGCCCCCGAGATGAGAGCTGATAGGTGATGATTGTTCCATTCCTTTTTTCTTTTTTACAAATGCAAAGTATCCTGGATCTGTAGGCCACGGAGCTGCTTTCCAACTCATTATCCAAATGCCACAAGAAATGTGGTGAGTCAAGATCTTTATATAAACCCCAAGCCCGAGTGAGTTATTTAGGAACTGCAGATGTTTTGGTTGTAAAGCAATGCTGTGTAGTGAGGGGAGAGCACTGGGGCTTCACCTCAGAGCTTCTGAAACTGAAAAACTCCTCCTTGTTAGGGCACAGGAACATCCTAAAATCAATCCTACAGGAATCAATGAAAAAGCTAAACCAGCTGCAGGAAGAACATAGTCCTGGCAGGAGCCAAAGCTTCTTATCAAAAGGATTGAGGCAAAAATCAAGAAGTGCTTCAAGCCACTGAAATGGGTGTGGGTCAGACATGGTGAGCCCTGAGTAAGAAAACACAGGTTGGGATTGCAGTGCAAATAACTGGGGGAGAATTTTCCTCTCCCAGGTGATGTTTCTTCCTTTGGCCATGCCAGCCAAGTATTCAGAATTGTTCTTTGTAAGAAATGCTTTCTTCTGGCCTCTCTGACTTTCAGCTGGGCTGCTATAGACCTGAGGCTGGAAGCCATCCTAAATTTAGCCTAAAAGAATTAATTCTGGCTGAGCCAGTGGCTGTGATTTACCCCCAGGTTTATTTGAGGTTATCAGGTGTTTTCTGGCCAGAATAGCTGAGCTTTTTGAGAGAGCTGCTGGGCCAAGCAGCTGCAGTGCTGTAACCCAGGCAGGAGTCACTGCAGGGAGCCTTGGAGAGCCTCAGCCACGCTGTGACATCAACAGGGAACCTAAAATCAGGGAAAAGCAGCAGGGAAGGGCTGAGAAGAGGACTCAAGGTGAGGATGGAGACCTCATTCCAATCTCTGCAATGCTGAGCCTGCCCAGCCCTGGCTGCTGGGAGCTGTGAGGTGCAGGGGAGAGCTCCAAGGAGCTGCCTGGAAGCAGGATATGGAGCATGGAGCTGTCGAATTCCAAGCCTGCAATTGCTACATGAAACAAAGCACCGATAAAAATAGTGTGTTTTCTTGCCGTGCTTCATTTCCTTCTGGATAGGCTCAAAATGTCCCCGTTTGGTTCTTTCCTTTGTACAACTTCAGTGAGTCATTGTGATCACAGTGCTCTGGCAGCATCTTGAAAAGCTCTGAAATACAAAATATTTCCCTGAAATTGCCAAATGTTTTACGTGGAAGTGGCTGCATTTCACATAGTCCAGTCGTGATCTTCCCGAGGTTTCAACTCTGTGTGTCTCCATCCTGTGAGAGTTACTGGTATTTTAAAGTAATTGCCCAATGCTTCGTGTGTTTTGGAGAAGGAGAAGTGTATTGTGGTCCATCCCTTGCCTCAAAAAAGTGTTTCCTCCTCCCCCTGAGAGTGTTTATTTTTAGCTAATAAAGGGATCATAGTCCTGCTATTTAAGATCCAGCATCCTAGTCATTTTCCCACGTCTCCCCTCAGCATCTGTTGGAAAATAAATCAATCACTATGTGCTGGATAGCAGAGTATTTTCCCTGGAATAGATCACATTCAGGGTGTTGTCAGAGATCCCTGGGACGTTTCCTCAGGCACAGGTGTGAGACACATCCAGGATGATTTGCTCACTTGAATTCTAAACTCTCCTCAGAGCAAAGGCTTTTATCACCCCTGCTAAAGCTGCCTGTTGTGGCCACTTTGCACATGGAGATGTGGAGTGTGTGCTATAAAAAGAGACTGCTGAGCTGTGTCTGCTGCCCTGAATTTCTCCCTGAGCTCACTCACACCTTTGTGGCTCTCCTGAGCTGTAGCTTTGTGTGTAGCTCCCTGGATAACCTTTGATATCCCCACCAGGTTTCCCCATCTCCAGCACTGCTGGCTGCTTCCCTGCTGCAGCAGTGTCTGTCTGCAAGGGAGATCAACACAGCTTTTGCTTGATCATTTTTATAAAATATATCAAATACTTCCACTTTGGCCGTACATTTTTGCTGTAATATATAAAAAACACACTTTTTCCACTTGAGCAAGCTGCCTGTTGAGAGGAGGGTGATTCACCCTGTGCCTCCCGTGCTTGGATTTGGTGAGGACACACAGTTTGAGGTTGTGGAGCAGTTGCAGAGCCCTGTGTGGGTGACAGCTCTGCCATTACCTGTGACAAGGTGCTGAACGTGGGCATCTGGGCTTGACATGCACTGTTGGCCAAGATGAATTGTGCAGGCAGCTGCTGTGGCCAGACAAACATCTCACAGGAACCCGGGCCATATGTTCCTGCAGCATTAATGCTGCCCTGTCTGAGTGCTTACAGGATATTTTATATCTGATTTGGGCCAAGGCAGGTTGAGAAAAGCAGAGAAAATGTCCTGACCCTTGGTATCGCCTCGCTGCCATCTCTGGCTCTGTAGTGACAGTTTCTGGCAGGATAAAAGTGAGAGCTGATTTCCTAGAGCATTCTCTGGTTTATCTCTCCTGTTTCCAGGACACTTGTTCAGATTCATCTTCATGAAACCTTGGAGATCTAGATTTTGATTGATAGCTGGTTAATTCATTACATCCATCAGCCTGGGGTGAGACGTGGCAGTGGCTGGACTGCAAATCAGGGCTCTCGAGCAGAGGACGGGTTTGCCTCTCTAAAACCTCTATTTCTGTTCGATTTTAAAAATCAAAACATCGTTTTCTTGGGCGTTGCAAGGCTTTTTGGGGGCTTTCAGGACTTCCAGTTCCACGTGTGAGGGTGGCAGAGCAGCAGGGACATTCCAAAGGGACATCCCACACAGGGGCTGGCTGGAGGAAGGGGAGCAGCAGAGGAGCCCTTGGTGGTGGCACTGGGGACAGGGACAGTGCTGTTCATCCCCACAGACCCAGGAGCTGCTCAGGCTCAGGTGCTGCTCCCTGAGTTGGTCACTGTCACCAAAGCCAGGGAGCTGGGCTGGGTTTGGGAGCCAGACCTGCAGCCCCAGCCCTTGTGTGGATTTTCCTGTCCCTGCTGACTCCTGGCATCTCCTCCTGCCTGATTCACTCAGTGCACGTTTGACACCACCATCATTCCCATGTTTAGTGAGTTATATATTTTTTTAAATGCTTTGTGACACTTGTAAATGGAGCAGGTAGGAGAAGGTAGATTTTGGAAAAGCTGGAACATCTGGTGCTTGCATGTTTTGGTCGACAAGTTTGTGAAATGAATATGATCCTAAAGTAGAGAAGAAAAATGACACCTTGAAGTTGTGAGTTAATTAGCTCTGACTCTCAGGGGCTTGGGAGCAGGGCTGGGATTGTCACACTCTTGGTTCCTCACACCTGGCACCTTTCCAGGTCACTCTGCTGCAGCAAGAGCAGGGCCAGGCTGCTGAGGTTGGTTTCTCCCCACGTTCAAAGAGCCTTTTTTGGTCATTTAAATGATCAATTAGTGGACACGGCTTAACCTCAGTGACCCAGCAGCACCTGGAGCTTTTGTTCTGCTAAGAAAAACTGAGATCTGGTGTAAATTCTGGTTCTGGGGTTTGAGAGGGTATTCAGAAGGAGAATCTCCTGTTCTCTGGCTAATCTGGCTTGTTCACACCCACAGCAGAAATCTGAAGTCATTACAACAATTACTGGCAAGATCTGGAGTAAAGCTTCAAGGCAAAACGATAAATCAAAATCCATCTTCAATTTTGTATTTGCATATTGTTTCTACTTCAGACTGTATAAGATTAATCCTTTTTTTGACCTTTTTACTGAGGTTTTGTTAAGTAGCAAGTGCAGCCTTGAGTGTACTAAATGTCATCCTGTCTAAAATACTTAACAACACAGCCTGCACTGGGAAAGCAACACCTTGTTACCACGAGCTGCTAAAGACAGGTGAAACCAGCTCTTGTGAAAACTTGCCAAGTGATTTTGCTCCTAATAACTACCCATAATAAACGTGGAAGCACGTATGAGTTGGATGTGAGAGCAGCAAAAATTTAAACATCAGGTTCCTCAAAACTTCTTCAACTTGCTTTGTGTGCTGCCGAGTTCATTGGATAAACACACAGGAGGTAATTGTTTCTTTGGGTACGTTTTAAAAGTGGTGTTTTACAGGTCATCAACGCTGCTCTGGCTCTGGCTGCTAAACCCCAAAGCAAACTGGCTCAAGAAAACATGGATCTGTTCAAGGAGCAGTGGGAGAGGCAGGTCCGTGTGCTGACAGATGCTGTGGATGACATCACCTCCATCGACGACTTCCTGGCTGTGTCAGGTAACCTGGGCTCTTGGTGTGAGAGACAAGAAAGGCAGGAGCCTCTTCTTTTAAAATGGACAATGTAAATCCCCTCCCTCCAAATTATTAGCATTTTGAAATTAAGGAGCTCTCAGGCAAAGATATGGGAATGGGAATAACAGTTCTTTACTAGGAAAATTAAAATAGCAATGCAGCATTGCAGAGAACAAACCCAGAGCAGGGGCAGAGGGAGAATCCAAGGTGCCCCCGTCAGTCAGTCAGGGTTGGTGCAGTCCCATTCCACGGTGGCTGCATCCTCCTGCAGTGACAGATGTGGTTCTGCTGGAGCAGGGCTCCTGCACAAGGTGCAGTTTTCCTCCAAAGCTGCAGGGATGATGTGCAAGGCTCTGGTTTTCCTCTGGGATGCAGTGGGAAAAGGCTGCTCTGCTGTTCCAAATCTCCCCTTTGATCTGGGTAGGAAATGCTCGGCTCCTGCCCTGGCTGGAGCATCTCCCAATGGGATGATGGAATTTGATCAGCCCTGCCCTGGGACTGCATGGCCATGAACAGGAGAGATCTCCTGGAGGGAGGATGGGCTGTGGGCAAGATAAAGAACACTGCAACAGCTGGGTGAACAGCTGGAACATGAACAGCAGAGATCCCCACAGAGATCAGGATCACTGCCACAGCTGGGTTAACAGCTGGGGACAGAATTCACACTTTGGGTCACATCCTGTATTGCAGCCTAAGATATCTGGGCTCCAGGCTGAGCAATAATCATCCTCCCCAGAGCTCAGTCCTGGAAAGGAGTGGTTTGGACACTTGTGGAGTGTGTGGGATTTTGGGAGGGGTGGTGGTGTCACACCTCACCTGGGGTCCCCCTGTGCCCAGCGAGGTGTGAGGGCAGCAGCAGATCTGTGTCAAGGAGAAGACACTTTATATCCCAAGATTTGGAATTGCTGGCTGAACTAAGGATGAATGACTTGCTGCAGACAAGCCTCAGCAGTAACTGTGGGGGAAATAGAAGATGTTTCTGTCCCAGGTAGGAGCTAGCAGGAAAAATGATCCCTCAGGTCACTTTAGACTCTGCCATGTAAACAAAACTGAATATCACACTGTGGTTGCACAAGTTAATTAAAATAAAAATGTTCATAGCATGCCAGCTTTACTAAAGTTCTAAGAGTTTTTAAAAGAGATTGGATCATTATAATAGATTAATAATTACATTTGGCAGAGTGCTTGCCAAGAGAATCTGTTTTATCAGCATCTTGATAAAGACTCACTATCATCTCCTGTGACCTAAAAATAATGGGGGCATTTTTATTTCCACATCCTTTAATTGTGCTCTAGTCGGAGGACATGGAGATGTAACCACGTGAATTGTGTCTGAATATTGTTCACAAATCACCACTGCAGGCTGGGATTCTAATTTCCATGGTGCAAGAAGGTTTGGGCATCTCAAGTGAACTAAAACCTCCAGTTGTAAGGAGAGATTTCACAGGAGGAGGGGTGAAGTCAGAACCAGGTGAACATAGTTAGAAAATGTAGGTGAATAATTAAGGTCCTGAATTAAGAGTATTTTTTTTTATTGTTAAGAAAAGAAAAATCAAACAAAAAGCCATTTGGGGAGTGGGAGCTCTGCTGTGGGAGCTCAGCTCGTGCACTGGGCCCAGTGCTGGGCTGCTCTCAGGAGCTCTGAGCTGCTTTTTAACACTGAAGTCACCACAGACATCACTCACTAAAATCACTTTCCTTCCCTTCTAGTCCAGGTTTAGCACCACAAGACTCGAGTGAGTTGTGGGCAGAACAGCCCCAGGGTTGCAGGTTAGGACAGAACTGGGGTTTTTTTTTGGTTAAATAACCAAATCTGTTGCATGGCTGAGCTCTCAGGAGCTGGGCAGAAAGCAGAGAAAGTTTCTTTCCTGGGGTGGGGGCAGGTTGACTCAGGAGAGTTCACCTCGAGTGAGGGCTCACCCCCCAAAATGGAGCCCAGGAAATGTAGTTTGAGACAACTCCAGACATCCAAGTGCATTCAGTAATTATTTATATGTGTTTGCTATCAAGGAGATGGTAGAAAAAAAAATATTAAAGCAATAAATACTCTTTTAAATATTATTTGTTTGAACTTTGATAAATGTTTTCCATATAAATGCCACAACTCCAATTCATCTGCTAGAAGTCTGAACTTTTCTGTGGATAAAGTTGTGGCTGGTATGATTTATATCAAGTGCTGCTTGGGGTTATTAGGATGTTTGTATCAGTTACTAACTGGGATGTAAGCAGAATTTAAAGGAGTGCATGAGTGTGTGCATATATAAATATGTATGTAAGGCATCCCACATCCCTCCTGAAGTAAAGGCTTCACCATTCAGCTCGTGCTGCAGAATTGGATAAATAATCCACAAGGAAAGGCTTGGGGAAGGGATGCTGGGTTTAGGTGACAGCAGAAGGGTTCATCAGAGCACAGTGCTGCAGGTGAGCTTGCAGGTGACAGCATTGCCACAGGTGCAGCAGGAGAAGGGCCCTGCTGAGCTAGGGCAGGGTCTGGGGGAGGCTCAGGATGGGAGGATGGCAGCCTGGAGATGCCTGTGTGCTTCCAGCCATGAGTGGTGTGCAGCTCAGGGAGCTCCAGCATCAGAGGTGCTGTCTCCTGAGCAGTCCTTGACACATTTTTCTCATTTAAGCTGTTGTTAGTTGTTCTTTGGACCATTTTAAGCTGCTGGCACCTCCATCATCCTGTGCAGAATTCACACTACAAGTGTGCTCTGTGTGAAGAACCTCCTTGTTCTGCACTGTCACCTCTTTGCTTCATTTGATGCCCCTGCTTGTACTAAAGATGGAGTGGAGATTTTTTTTTTTCCCCCTTTCTGTCTCTCCATGCTGTTTGCAGACAGAGTTCTGCCATGCACTTTGTCAGTCATCACTTCCCTGACTGCCCAGTCTTTGCCTGTTTCCTTATTCCTCATTTCAGAGCTCTCCTGTACCTTCTGCAATTCTTATCCCTCTTATCAGTGCCTTCCTGAAGCACTCTGGGTGTGTTGGTGTGCCCACTATCTCTGTTCTTCAGAGCACTTGCTGATAGCACCGTGTAATTGTCAAATTCAATGTTCTGAAATTACCTGAATCTCCTCTGAAACCCTCTTAAAAAAACCATTCCATTTGCTGCCTTCTGTTCCTCTGCTGCTGACAGAGGTTTGTGCCACACATTGCCCATCTCAGTGGAGCTGTTTTTTCTGAAGAGCCTCTGTGTGGACATTGCCAGGATGAGCCCTGCATTTACAAATGTGTGAGCTCCCCAGTGCTGGCTCCTGCAGTGCCCCTTGGAGCAGAGGTTCAGCACAAAAATGTTTCTGAGACCTTCCCCAGCAGCTGCAGCAGGGAAGCACAGTTGTATTTATCAATCTTTTTGTATTTATCAGATCATTTCCAGTTGTATTTATCAATCTTTTTGTATTTATCAGTTGTGTTTATCAATCTGTGCCTTCGTGTCCCCACTGCTGCTCTTTGATTTTGGTCTCCTGTAGCCTCAGAGTCGTTTGGAAAAGCATTGCTTAATCCCTTTAATGTGGAGGTGGCTGGAGGTGGAAGGTGTTTGGTGGGAGTGGATTGAGGATTGACAGTCGTGGGTGACTTTTTATTCTGTAGCTTCTCACAGTTTAATGTATTTCCTTGTTTGGTCTAAAATCATTTCTATGGAAAAAAAAAAAAAACACCTTTCCTTTTACCTTGTTGTTGCCCAGCCACACCATTTTCCCTGTAGCTGTTTTGGTGGGACAAGAAGCCTTTGCTGTTGCCTGTGCTGTGTTCTGTGGCTGTGGGATGTTTGTCCTGCTCATCTCAGGGGGGTTTGGATGTGGGTTCTCCCCCAGCCTTCTCCCATCCCCAGAGGTGCTCTGTGTGCCAGTAGGATGGGGGAGCACTGGGTGTCTTCAAACAGCTCAGAGTCAGATCTCAGCTGTTCTCATGCAGCTGGAGAACATCAGCAGAGCAGGTAGACCTGACAGTCCTGCACTTGCCTGGGCCCTTTGCAGGCTGTCCTGTGGGTTATTTCCCTCTACAAGGGACTTCTTGGCCACTTCACATCTGCAGAAAGCATTAAATGATCAGCAGACATTTAAATATTCACCTTCATTTTCTCCATGCCTTTTATTAAAGTTCAGATAATCCAGAGAGGCTTTTAAATGGTCTGTGGGTTAATTTATTCATTTAGGAATTGAAGCAATAAACAGTCTGTGTTTTGGCTTGGCACCAAAGCTTTTTCTTGGGCTCTTGCAGCTCCCAGGGCTGTCTTTTCTTTAAATCCCCTCTGTTCTTTCCGTGGCTCCTGTGCCTGCTCACTGACTTGTCAAATCATTAATGAACCTGCTCCTGCTCTCTCAGGGCCTCATCCTGCCCTCAGCTGAACCTGCTCAGGCTCAGTTGCTTCAGAGGGATTTCACAAGTGTCATTTTTGTCCGGGTTACTTACAGAAGTCTGGCAATATTGCACCTGGCTGTGTTAATTTTATGTAAATCAGGTGTAACTTCCCGCAGCAATCCTTTCAGGCAGTTCCTCCAAATCCTCTCCCAGCCAACATCAGGAGCTTCTTGTCTCTCCCAACTCTTGCAAAATGGCTCTTTTACTACCTGCACAGGGAATAAAAGCCACTTGCATGGGTTGGCAGTGTAGAATGATTAAGTCAGTGGTAATTAACACTGGAAACTATTTTAAGTGACAGAGCAGAAATGTTTCCAAATTGGTTTCTTACCAAGCAGCCCAAATGCTGGTGTTGGATGATGATACTGAAACATTAGTCCTGGTACATTAAAGAGTTCTCTAACAGAGTTTGGAAGTCTCTAATAACAGCTTGGGAGATCTTTAGGGTGGGTTCCCCCAAATAAAGATCCCAATTTCTTTAGGCATCTTCAGAATTTCAGAACCCTTTAAAGGGTTTTACCCATTTTGGGTTTCTTGGACTCGATGAATGGGAAAAATATCTCTTTGCAAAACCAGAAAATGTATATTTAAAAAGCTAATTGCAAACAGAGGTCTTGCCTTTATGTTTTTTGTTTGTTTTCCGAGCAGTCAGTGAGTGCTGTGTGGCTGGAATGTTTTCCACATTATTCACTGCATACATTATGTGTCTCAGATGGCAATGTGCTCTGCTGGAATGTGTGTGCCTGTAGGAAAACACTCTGGAGGAAGCTGGAAACGTGCACCAAGTGTCTGTTGGAGTGTTGAGGGGAGTAGGTGTGGTGCTGGGGAGGTGCCCATCCCTGCTGTGCCAGGGGAGTGGTTTGCAGGTATTTGAAATAAGGGCTTGGGCAGTGCAGGGCAGAAATAGGGAAAGAAACCAGGGGAGAGCTCAGCAGAACTCAGCTTTCCCCTTGGTAAAATCGAGTACAAGCAGGGCCAGGAGTGTGGGGGCCAGCTGGGGGAAGGGCTGATGGCTTTTTGACACCTTTGCCGGGCGTAGTGACCTTCACATTAGCGCTCGACAGCATCTCCATGGAGCCTCTACAGAGCAGCTCCCACCCTGAGCAATGGCCATGACAGAAAAGCCATCACCACCTAAATCCTCCTTCTTTGACCTGCAGAGAACCACATTTTAGAAGATGTGAACAAATGCGTGATTGCTCTCCAAGAAAAGGACGTGGATGGCTTAGACCGCACGGCCGGCGCCATCCGCGGCCGCGCCGCCCGCGTCATCCACGTGGTCACCTCGGAGATGGACAACTACGAGCCTGGGGTGTACACTGAGAAGGTGCTGGAAGCCACCAAGCTGCTGTCCAACACAGGTAAGGGTCACCCAAGAGCCAGCAGCCCTGAGCTGCTGCTGCTTGAGAGCTGCTGGGCAGCTGGGTACCTGTGAAATCCGTTCAAAACTCAATTTGCTGCGATGCCGTTCAGTGGGAGTTGTTTGCAAAGCTGTTGCAAAGTGAGAAGTGTGATTGTGCTGTGTTGGCTGTGCACTAAATGTCCCCGAGTGTGCTTCTGTCATGGGCTGAGCTGTGGGAAACAAAAACACCAGGAATGAGTCCCAGATATGAGGGAAGGGCTTGGAAGTTGTGCTGTGCTCGTCTTGGAGGCTCTGCAGCTGCTCAGGGTCCAGCAGGGAGATCACATTCCCCCAGCAGAATAAATTTAGGGCAATAAATAAATTTTCTCAAGTATCTTTAGAACTGTTGTAGGTGCATGTGCCCCACACATAAACCCCAAATCAGGGTGTTCCCCATGAACTACTGGTGACATCCATAAGGGTAAGGGGTGATTCTGGCTGCTGCTGTGCCAGCCACTCGTTGTTGGTTTTGCTTTAATTACTTTGATGAAGAATCAAGGGTGACACTGAAGAAACAGCAGACTCTAACTGGTTCTGGCATGTTCTTCCTGGGGCACCATGAGTCACTGAAATGCAGCAGTGCAACCTGCCCCTTCCAGTGCCTCTCCAGCTCCAGCTTCCTGATGGTAGCATGACTATTTATTCCCAAAAAAAAACCCCTATGTACATCTGCAGGAAACATCAAACAAATTCATATTTTGTCCCATAGTTTCTAGGGGCTTCTCTGTGTCTTTTCTCCTTGTCCATTAGCAGAGTGTGATAAACTTTTCCCTGTCCCTGGATTTTTCAGTTTTTCCTGGGGGATAAGGATAAATTTTGAGGTATTTCATCCATTGTTGATTTAGTCAATGCTTTGATTGGTAACTGTGCTGAAGACACTGTCTGGGCTTCTGAACCAGCCCTTAGCTTCACCTCCTGTACCAAATGTGCTTTCAGGGGAAGGAGGGCACAGCTTCCAGGATAGTTCAGAGCAGGCAGTGTTGCTGTAAGGCAAGGGAGCAGTGAAGAAACACAACAACACAGAAAACTTCCTGAGAGCAGAAGAAGTGATTTATTGCAGGAGCAAACCCATTTTTATAGACTGGTTTGCTGAATCAAGGATAGAATAAACTCATTGGTCCAAGGAAGGCAACAGCTCTTGTAAAACATGCTTTTACCAAAACATCACGTCCCTCACACACTCATCCTGTCCACAACACCAGGTGCTAAACTTTGTTATTAATTCTTGCCCTTCTTTTTTCCTTTGAGTAGCTTGGGAAAATCAGAGTCAGCAACATCCACAGGGCAGGATGGGGAGCAGAGAGGTTGGGTGGTGTTGGATCTCAGAAATCTGGAGTTTTTGAGCTTTCTGTGCTTCCAGGCACAGACCCCCCAGGAAAACACTGCTCTGGAGCTGAAACCTTGGAGAAGATTTGTAAATATGAATAATGAGTTAGAAATCACAGATGTGCAGTGGGTTAGATGTGTGTGTTTTCACTGGGTGATGGGTTTTAAATGTGAGGTTTTTACAGTACAGTGGTGGATATGGGACAAGATGGAGAATTTGGGGTGGTGTCTTTTTCTTTGTTCATCTTCTTCTTCTTCCATCTTCTTCACGGAACTCAGGTAATAACCTTTGGTTGGTCAGTCAAGTGTCACTCTAAAAGTCATAAAAATCTATTATTAAGTCAAAAAAATAAATAATGTAAGTATTACATATATCAATTACATATACATATATATCTATTACATATACATCTAGCTATATACATATGTTTATCTATATACATATATCTATATACATATATATCTATTACATATACATCTATCTATATACATATATTTATATACATATACATGTATCTAGCTATATACATATTTCTATTTATATACATATATATGTCTATTACATATAAATTGCATATACTTATATCTATCTATATACATATATATCTATTACATATACATTTATCTATCTACATACATATATCTATTATATATACATAAATCTATCTATATACATATATATTACATATACATATATCTATATACATATATTTATGTATATACATATACATATATCTATCTATATACATCTATATATCTATTACATGTACATATATCTATCTATATACATATATATCTATTAGTTTATTTAGGTTTAAAAGGCCTCGAAGCAGGCTCAGCTGGGGCCATTTTTGCCACTTCTAGCAAGGAGCTAAAAGTGCTGTCACACTTTCTGTCATTTCTGATAGAATATAATAAACATCCAAATCGTCTCAATCGTGTTTCTATTAATCCTGGCTGTAAAAAAAAACCCCAAACCAAACGAATCCCAGAGCACTGCTAGGTGGTGCAGAGCCCATCAGGGACCCCTCCAGGGTGGGTCTGGCTGACATCTGTGTGCTCTGTGCCCAGTCATGCCCCGCTTCACGGAGCAAGTGGAGGCTGCGGTGGAAGCGCTGAGCTCCGACCCTGCCCAGCCCATGGACGAGAACGAGTTCATCGACGCCTCGCGCCTGGTGTACGACGGCATCCGCGACATCAGGAAAGCCGTGCTCATGATCCGGGTGAGAGCCTGCCCTCCCCCACCAAAAAAATTCCTATTCCTGCCCGCCCCTCTCGAGCTGCCACGCTTTCATTGGGCTCCTCTTAACGCTCAGAGAGTCCTGAAAGGTGTTCACTAGCTGAGCAGTAGTTTGGGTTTGTTATAAATGAGGGGCAGAAGTCTCAGTATTCAGCAAAATTTAGATTGTTTTATTTGATATAAACAGAGCAAGCAGCGCTGGGGAACGTCCACGCTCCACCCAACCTCGGTTTGCAGCCTCTTCTTATACTGTGGGTTCTCGGTGTAATCAATAATCTTTGGTTTTTTGTTGTCATAAGCAGTGGTGGTCGAATAAACATCCTTGTAGATCACCACCAGGGAAGTTCTGGGAGTCTGGATTTTGGGATAGGCAGCACTGATCAGACAAAGGCAGGAAGGGCTATTGGGAAGGCTGATTTTGCAAGCTGGGAGCTGATACAACTTATTTGGAAAACATAACATAACATAATATAATGTAACATAATATTCAAAACAAGGTGATTTTAAACAGAATGATTTTATCATATAATTTCCTTTATCTAGAGTCCATACTTCACTTCAGAGCTTAGTATTCTGGTTTATACAAACCCCAATGCTTTTGTGATTAACACGAATCTTTTATCAATTATCACAGATTGAGAGTCACCAAGCAGATGTGAAGCCTTGCCCTGTAGAAATTCAGGAAGGGCAGGAAAGCAAAGCCTGGCCCTTGATGTCTGACATTCACCTGGCCCAGGTGGCTGCTGTGGGGCAGCTCTGCAGCCTCTCACTGGGCACCACTTCTCATTTTGCACACACCTCCCTGTTCTCCACAGCTCTTCCCATTTTCCTGTGGCACCTGATGCCCTTCCCAGAGCCCACCCAGGTCCCCATCTGGGTTTTCCTTAGGTCTGAATGTGGAGGATGAAATGCTGACTGCTGCCTCAGTCCCTGCCATCCCCTGGGCTCTGTTTTTGGGAGGCTGTTGAAGATAAGCTGTTAGCTTAGGAGGAAAAGGAACAAAAAAAAATACTCAAAGGAAGGTGGTGGATATGCTGAGATGATGGCCCGAGTTGTGATGCTAAATACCCTTCATGCATCTTTTGTAATCTCATGGTAATGCCTGGCTCCCTAATGTGCTAAAATCAGTGACCTTTCAGTTAACAACAGCAAATTAATTCCCAACTATAGATGCTTGTTGATGCTTTGAGAGCTTAGAAATAAAACCTAATGGCTCTTCATTAAGTAAATTGTGATAATTAATGTTAGTTAGTCAAAAAGAAGCTGAGATGAGTTTGGTCTGTAGTTCCTAGAGCATGTAATTTGTTAATTGGCTAACCTGGGTAAACAGGGGCAGCTCACAGAGACCTTGACTCGTGTGCCTGCAGTGGATGTGACTTGGAAGCCCTAAAATTTCTGGTAGGCCAGACCCAGAAGGGCACAGTTGGTTGAAGGGATGCAGAAAAGGAAGTTCTGGTTGAAGCTCATCCATGCACCTATTTCTTGGATCTTACTGGGGCAAAAATGGGCAGGAGCCAGACATAGCAAAGCTAAATATAGGGGTTTATTCATTTTTTTCTTCTTTTCCTTTGGCTCTGAGGAAGTGCCCTGATCTTTCAGAGTGGTGACCATGGCAGATGCAGCTTGGTGAGCAGTAAATCAAGAACATACAGCCCCAGAAGAAATGTGATTACAGCACCCATTGCAATGGCATCTTCCATGTTTGCTGCTTAAAGCAAAAGATCAGATGAGAAACCAGGAGAAAAGCTGACAACCACATCTGTGCTGCCCATGGAGTTTTTTTTTCAGACCAGCTCAGGATTTGTAGCCAGCAGTAGATGAAGATCTCAGGCAAACAGATGTGATTCCCCCCTGCTGAATCCCTTGTTACTCAGGACAGGGAGCTGGGCTGGCAGTGCCAGGAACACCAAGGTTTGCCCCTGGGCACTCAGCAGCCACCTAGAAAGGAGTTAAAATGTTAGCACTTGTCATGCAGAGAGTTTATTTGGGGATAAAAGAGCCATCCAAATGGGGATTCCAGGGTTTGGTGGAGCCCTGCTCACTTCAGCTTTGTCCCTGCTCTTTGCAGGGAGCAGCAGGAAAAGCCACTGCAACTCCTCATTTTTTGTGTTTGTGCAGGGTATTTTCCAAACTACCATCTTCTATATCTGTATTTATTGAAGAGAAACTCTTCTTTCCCCCCTCCCTGCTGCCCAGAGGAGTTTCTGCCCTTGGTGGCACTGGAAAAGCAGAATTACACTTTGTGTGTCCTTGGGCTCTGGCAGGGATGGGCAGAGGAGTCACAGACAGAATCATGTCCAGCAGAACTGTTCTCTTCATGTTTTTTCTTTTTTTTTTTTTTAATTCTGATACACTGAACTACTTCTTTTGTGTTTCCCTCTTGGATTTTGTGGAGGAGGCTGCAGTACCCAAAATCTTGATTGTCATCCTACTCACCTTTGCTTCTTAGCAATTATTTTGCATGTCCATCTCTGTTTTCACTGTATCACAAAGTTCTTGTAGTGGAAGACAAGTCTGTGAAATTCAAATCATAGGAAAAAAAATCTAAAGAAAGGGACTTTATTTGCATCTTATCTGTTAATCACAATTTATTGTATTTATCAGTGAAGCTCTTTGCTGACCCAGCTCTGGAGAATTCTCATGAAGTGCCACTTTAGCAAAGATGTAGTATTTTGACAAACATGCTGTTTAAACTTGATAGGCTTTATAAAAAGTTTGCCAGCTACAGACTGGCAGTAGCAAAAATAAATCCTAGGCAAGCAGGAATTAGGTCAGATGTGTTTAGCCTACAGCATAAAAGCTGGCCCTTAGTAACTGAATTTTTTCAGCTTTTCCTGAGGGGTAAGGATAAATTTTGAGATATTTTATCTGTTGTTAATTTAGTCAATGCTTTGATTTGTAATTGTGCTGAAGACACTGTCTGTGCTTCTGAACCAGCCCTCAGAGCTGTGTGTAATTCCAGCTCCAGGATCTCGAGTGAAGCTTTTACATTTAATCAACTTGCTAAAGCTCTGTTCATTTTGCAAGAACTTTTTTTTCTGCCTTTCAGATGCTGAGTGCATTAAATGTCCTGACAAATCTCAGCTGTTTAGTTACTTCTGTGTGATTCTGGGGATCCCTATGGTGTTTAACAGGAGCAGTCAAGCACATAAAATCACACGTGTTCAGAGCTGCATACTGTCCCTGTATTTACCTTGTTGTTAAAAACATGCAATAATTTTTACCTCCACTGATTCCCATTCTCTCTGCTTGAAAAACAATATTCCAGTTGATTTTCAGAGCCATGAAATCTGTATTTTGACTCTGCCTGAATGCTTTTTCCTCAGACTCCTGAAGAGTTGGATGATTCTGACTTTGAGACCGAGGATTTCGACGTCCGAAGCAGAACCAGCATCCAGACTGAGGATGATCAGCTCATTGCTGGCCAGAGTGCCAGGGTAAGGCACAAAAAACCTCTGACCTGCCTTCAAGAAACACTTCAGCTTGCTTTGAAAACCCAGCTTAAAT